CCCCCCCCCCCCCCCAGGGGCCAGTGAATGGGCATAGGTAAAGTGGGAGACGACAGCCAATAAAAGCTACGAAAGAGAGGACCTTAGTACAACATTGCACTTACTAGTTCCTGGTCTGTCTCCACAACAATCAGTAGACTATTAAACAGGATAACACAGAGGATTCCAGTTCTGAACACAGTGTTTGACAAGAATTGGCCAAGAAGCTCATTAGATGCATACTCCTCAATGGCCTCATCATCTAAATCAACAATGTCCCACATGTTTTCTTCCCCTTTCTCTTTTGACATCAAGAGTTCTTCTTTCTAAATTTTAAGAAAAGTTGTTACGAATTAATGGTACAATAAAGCCAGATATAATTTGCCATAGTCTCAGAACAATAGCTAACTTAAGTGTTATTGTGAATTTTGCTAGGAGAACTAAATGTTTTATCTGTTTGATGCTTTCAGCAACAAAGCAGTGCTCACATGTTTAATATATAGATTTAGGCAAGCCTAAAAGCGGAGCTCCTGGGCTGGGTTGTTCAAAGTCCAGTTAAGATAACCCTGGTTAAGAGAGAATTCTGATTTTAGTTTTGTAACTTCTGTATATTGTTTGGCATTCTGTTTTGAGTTTGAATAATCTCAAAATACACAAAACAAAACATTTGTATACAATAAATATTTATACTTCTGTTCACTTTTAATCCTGGGTTAGCGTTCACCGCCTTCCGAACAACCTGGCCCCATCAACCACAAGTCAACCTAATATGAGCCCACAATCCAATAGAAAACCAGCTCTTAGTCAGCGGTCAACTTCAAATAAACATGTTACCTTGATGAGCTCAAAACTTGAGCCCACAATATGGTCACATGATACTGGTCAGCGGATATCTTGTTTTGACAGGTCAATTGACCATAACATGGATGTCAATATCAAAGAAGGAGGCTATAAATAGAGGCTCCATGTCCCTGTCAACCTTTTAGCTGGACTATGGCCGCCATGTTGCACGACTCCGTTGCCGTTGTGCGTAGCGCCCATGAGCAATACTGCTAGCCATGATAATCATGATCTTAGTAATTGCACAAATTACAGGGGGATCACGCTTCTGGATGTTTCAGGGAAAGTGTTCAATAGGGCACTTCTAAATAGAATGAAAGACGAGGTTGATACAAAGTTTAGGGATCAGCAAGCTGGCTTTCGCAAGGATTGATCATGCATGGATCAAATCACCACATTGCAGATCATTATAGAACAGTCCTGTGAGTGGAACTCTCCCCTGTACATCAGTTTCGTCGATTTCGAAAAAGCATTTGACAGCATGGACAGAGATACACTATGGAAGCTTCTCCGACACTATGGGGTGCCAGTAAAGATTGTAAACATCATCCAATCTTCGTATGAGGGATTATCGTGCAGTCATTCATGGAGGACAGCCCACTGAAGCATTCAGCGTGAGAACAGGGGTCAGACAAGGGTGCTTACTTTCGCCATTCTTGTTTTTGCTTGCAGTTGATTGGATTATGAGAACAGCCACAACACAGGCAAGAAATGGAATCCAGTGGACACCTTGGCTGCAGCTTGACGATATAGATTTTGCAAATGACCTGGCACCGCTATCCCATACACATCGGCAAATGCAGGAGAAGACTAACAGTGTTAAAGACTCGTCTGCCCAAATTGGTCTTCACATCAACAGGGGAAAAACCAAGGTCCTCAAGATTAACACAACGACTACTGAACCAGTTCTGCTAGATGAC